AAAGAAAGAAAGAAAGAAAGAAAGAAAGAAAGAAAGAAAGAAAGAAAGAAAGAAAGAAAGAAAGAAAAGAAAGAGAAGGAAGGAAGGAAGGAAGGAAAGAAGGAAGGAAGGAAAGAAAGAAAGAAAGACAGGAAGGAAGGAAAGAAAGAAAGAAGGAAAGAAAGACAGGAAGGAAGGAAGGAAGGAAGGAAAATGAGGAGACGGAAGGAAGGAAACTGGTGGCCACAGTAGTTAGAGTGCCATATTGCAATCTAACTGCCCTCTGCCAGAGGTTCAATTCTGACCGGCTCAAAGTTGACTCAGTCTTCCGTCTTTCCGAGGTCATTAAAATGAGGACCCAGATTTTTGGAGGCAAGAGGCTGACTCTGTAAACTGCTGAGAGAGGGCTGTAAAAGCACTGTGAAGCGGTATATAAGTCTAAGTGCTGTTGCTCTTGCTATCTTGCTGAAGACCACTTTTTGAAAAACACCCCCTGTTCTCTTGATTTATGCAGCTCGTTGACCCTACCTTGACTTCACTTTCATTGGACAGAATTTCCAAAGCTTCTAGATGTGACAAACCCTGAAATTCGTCGAAGAGCACTCCGTAATGTGCTGTCGGCTCCATCGTGGCTTGATGGGCAAGTCTCTGCTTTTCTTTCTCTTTGGCTTCCCGCAGCAGCTGCAAAAATACAGAGGGGAAGATTCTGATTTAGGGGCTGCGAAACAGATTTAAACAGATGTTCTCACCTCTAGACCCAGGACCAATACAGACCAATAGGAAAAAAAATAAGAAAGATAAAGTAAGAAAGTGAACTGTAACACATGCCTTACCCATATGTAAATTGGATAAGGCATGTGTTACAATTGATTTTCTTATTTTATCAGGAGTGGGCTGCTACCGGTTCACACTGGTTTGCATGAACCAAATGTTAATTTTACATCTGGTTCTGTGATGACCCAGGATGGGATACAAAAGCAACAGGTGAAGTCCCTTTAATTTCTTCAACTTGGCTTCAAAGCTCCAATTATCATTAACTGGAGAAAAAAAACTCCCCCACAAACAGTTGCGAAAAGGAAGAAATGCTATTCAAACTCAAAATACATATAAATTAGAAATAGAAAAAAACAACACAAACCACACTGAAGCAATTAATGAGACACGGCAGGATAAGAGCTTGAAGAGTCCACAGATATCGAAATACACACACTGGTAAGGACACCAGATTCAGATAAGAACCGACAGACTAGAATTATTTCATGCTTTGCTTCCAGCACTGGGACATGCAGAGCTTGTCCTTTTAAACAGTCCTCACAGCTGCAGCCTATGAAGGGGATCAAGGCCCTTTCCTTCCCCGTAAACCACACCATTCACGTTTCTCCCTTATTCGCTCCTCCCTGTGTGCCATAGGATGAAGAGTGGGCCTGGATCTTCCTTTGAATGCCCAGCTGGCCTGTGCCCTTCCCCAGTTTCTTCCACAACCTCCCGAGCCACACTCCCACTCCCTGTTGGCTGTTCCTCCTCTCCCTCAGAGTCAGACTCCAACAGGGGCATGACAGGTTCACCAAACCAGTAGTTGCAACAAGTGGCTGGCCCTGCTCACCCCTCCCCTCCCTGGAGTCTCCACATGGCCTGTTTTGGATTGCAGGTAAGTGCAGGGCCCACACCAAGGCTCAGGGAGGGTGAAAAACAGGCCTCCTGGATGCTCTAGGAAGCCAGAAATGGACCTATTTCCGGCCTCCAGAGAGCCTCTGGAGCCTGGGGAGGGGAAAAATGGGTCTCCTGGAGGCTTGAGGAAAGCCTCCAGAGCCTGGGGAAGGTGAAAAACAGGCTTCCCGGAAATTCCAGAAGGCCAGAAATAAGCTCATTTCCGGCCTCCAGAGGGCCTCAGGACCCCGGGGAGGCCATTTTTGCCTTCCTGGAAGCTCGGGGAAAACCTCTGGAGCTAGACCATGCCCACCATGGCCACGCCTCCCTCAGCCACCAGGCAGAAAACTGGTTGCTAAATTTTGGGAAGCCCATCCCTGACTCACATCATAACCAGTGTCCGTATATTGTTACTCATTGGTATCAATCAATTACAAGACTTCTGTTCAAAAGACTTTTCCAAAAAATCCTGGAAAACCATCTGTAAGTACTGAAGTTTGATGCAGAGCCTTCAAGGACTAGAACCCCTTCCTGCCAAATCAGGTGGAAGTGGCACCAACTCACCTAGACGGGACTAAATAAGAAACGTCTTGCTAAATCCCTGTTTATGAGGTTAATCTCTCTGTGCATGTTTCACCTGAGATAAAGACACCGTCCGTTCCATCAGAATTTTGGTTTTCTTGAATCCGGGATCACTTTCAGCTAGAACATTCATGGTTTTCTTGCCGATAAACTCCAAAGCATCAAGTCCGCCACTTAAGACACTTTTACCCTGTGGATAATAGAGCAGAATGCTCATGTCGATCAGCAGTTTGATAGATTTACTTATGAATAAGTAAACAAGATTAATTTGAATGGGATGAGATGGGATAGGATAGGATAGGATAGGATAGGATAGAACAGAATGAAGAATAGAACAGAATAGAGTAGAATGAAGAATAGAATAGGAATAGAATAGAATAGAATGAAGAATAGACTAGAATAGCATAGAATGAAGAATAGAATAGAATAGAATAGAATGAATAGAATAGAATGAATAGAACAGAATAGAATAAAATAGAATAGAAGAATGAAGAATAGAATAGAACAGAAGAACAGAACAGAAGAATGAAGAA